GAGTTTTGAGCCTACACTGTCCACAGCTGCAGCCCTCAGTGCTCAAGTGGCTAGATGATACCCAGCACATAAGCATCTCTCCTAAACTCTGGGCCAGTGCAGTCAGCTGGGCAACCTTGTGACCTTGATTTGGTGGAAGGAGTCAGCTCTGGCAAAGCAACGTGGAACTCTAGGCCAGGACTATCTAGGGATTGCTGTCCCCCTGGACACATTATCTGGGGCTGCGGATTCACCACTTGTCTGCCTTTGTTAGTGTGATAGTGGCACTGAAACAGTGATGAATAGACTCACCAGGGACAATCTATCAATTCAACTAAAAATGTAAAATTAACATATTAAAAAAGAGAAAAAGGAAGCTGAAAATACTCATGAGGAAGAATCAGCAGAACTCTGACAACATGAACAATCAGAGCAAATCAACACCTTCCTGGGATGTCAAAGAAAATACATCAGAAAATTCCATCCACAGAAAAATTGCTGAAATGTCAGAAATAGAATTTAAAATATGGATAGCAAATAAGATAATTGGAATAGAGGGAAAGATGGAAACAGAGAACCAAAAAATAGCTCAGAAGTTGTCTCAAACAATTAATACATTCAAAGACAAAGTCACCAAGATAATGAAGAAAGATGTAGCAGAGCTTAGGGAATTGAAAAAGGTATTTGGGGAGCTTCAAAATACAGTAGAATCCCTAAGAAATAGAGTTGATCAGTGTGAAGAAAAAATCTCAGATAAAGAAGACAAGACTTTTGAACCATCCTAAGCATTCAAAGAGGCAGAAAAATGGAGAAAAAGAACAGAATATTCCCAAAGAGAATTGTGGGATCATTCCAAGAAATCAAATATCTAAATTATAGGGATTCCTGAAGAGGAAGATGGTCCCAAAGACACAAATTCTCTGTTCCAAGACATTATGGCAGAGAATTTCCCAAGTACTGCAAGAGACCCAGAAATTCAGACAGTAGTTTAGGAACTCCAGCATGATTCAATCCAAACAAAGCATCTCCTAGACACATTGTAATTAATTTTGCCAACATTAACATGAAGGAGAAACTTCTGCAAGCAGCTAGGCATAAGAAAAGTTATTACTTACAAAAGGAAAAGTAAAGGATGACTGTAGGTCATTCAGCCAAAACTTTCCAACGCAGAAAAGGATGGTCATTGACCTTCAACCTTCTTAAACAATATTTTCCAGCTAAACTGAGTTTCATTTGTGATAGAGAAATCAAATACTTCACTGACATCCACATGCTAAGGAAATATGCTGTGACTATACCAGCTCTACAGGAAATACATAGACCCATTCTTCATAACAATCAACAGGAGGGTACATCACCAAAGTAAACCTACCCAGAAATTAAAGAACAAAGCCTAGCTTCCACAATGTGAGAGGCATAAAATTAAGCTCTGGACTTCTGAAAAACAAGATGACCAAAACTCTCCCACATCTATCAATTCTCTTAATTATTGTGAATGGTTTGAATTCTCCTTTAAAGAGCCATAGGCTGAACAACTGGATACAAAAACTCAGGCCAGATATCTGTTACCTACAAGAAATTCACCGTACCTCAAAGAATAAACAAGATTCAGGGTGAAGGGATGAGCAATGGTATTCTAGGCAAATGGAAAGCAGAAAAAAGCTGGGGTTGCATTCTTGCATGCAGATACAATGGGATTCAAACCAACAAAAATAATGAAAGACAAAGATGGATAGTATATACTGTTCAAAGGAAACACACAATATGAAGAGATTCTAGTAGTTAACATCTATGCACCCTATATAAAACAAATCCTAACTGATCTGAACAATATGATATCATCCTACACTATAATAACTGATAATAGTTGGAGATTTTAAAAGCCCATTGGCAGTATTAGACAGACAGATCCTCCAAGCAGAAATTAAACAAAGAACACACTTAAACAAGACCCTAGAACATTTATGGAACATTCTATCCCAACAAAACCAAATATACATTCTTTTCATAAGCCCATGATCATCTTCCAAAATTGATCATTATCTTAAGTCATGAGGCTAACCTCAACAAATTCAAAAGAATAGAAATTATCCCCTGTATCTTCTCAGACCCTCATGGAATAAAAGTTGAATTCAACAGCAACAGAAATCTTCATATTTAAATAAAATCATGGAAACTAAACCTTATGCTGAATGATAGCTGGGTAAATAGACAAGATCTAGAAGGAGATCATTAGATTTCTGGAGCAAAATGATAATGAAGACAAAAACTATCAAAACCTGTGGGATACTGTAAAGGCAGTCTAACTTAGAGAGAAATTTATAGCATTAGATGACTTTCATCAAGTATCGGAAAGAGAGCAAGTCAGCAACCTAATGGGCCATCTCAAGCAACTAGAAAAGGAAGAACAATCTAATCCGAAACCCAGCAGAAGAAAAGAAATAACCAAGATAAGAGCAGAACTACATGAAATTGAAAACAATTACTCAGAAGATCAGTGTAACAAAAAATTGGTTCTTTGAAAAGATTAAAAAATTGATAAACCCTTGGCTAGACAAACCAGAAACAGAAAAATAAGATCTCTAATAAATACAATCAGAAATGATAAAGCAGAAATAACAACAAATGCCACAGAAATAAAAATGATTCTCAACAATTACTACAAAAACCTCTAGTCTCAGAAATATGAAAATGTAGAGGAGATGAACCAATACCTGGAAGCACAATAACTTTCAAAACTCAGCCAGAAATATTTAGAAATCTTGAATAGACCAACATTAAGTACTAAAATAGCATCAATTATACAAAATCTAAGGACACTATTCCTTTCACAATAGCACTGAAGAAGATGAAATACCTGGGAATATATCAACAAAAGATGCGAAAGATCTCTGTAAAGAGAATTATGAAACTCTGAGAAAGGAAATAGCAGATGTCAACAAATGGAAGAACTATGCTCATGGCTAGGAAGAATCATCATTGTTAAAATGTCCATACCACCCAAAGCAAGCTATAGATTTAATGCAATCCCCATTAAAGCACCAATGTCATACTTTAAAGAACTTGAAAACATAGTACTTCAAGTCATATGGAACCACAAAAAAACCCAAAGAGAAAATACATTTCTTAGAAATAAAAACAAATCTGGAGGTATCATGTTGCCAGATTTCAGGTTATATTACAAGGCTAGTGATCAAAACAGGATGGTTATGGCACAAAAATAGATAAGTAGATCTATGGAATACGATAGAAAATCTAGAGATGAATCCAGCCACATATCGTCATTTAATCTTTGATAAGCCTAACACAAACATGCAATAGGGAAAATAACCCTTATTTAACCAAAGGTGGTGAGAGAACTGGTTAGTCACATGTAGAAGACTGAAAACTGGACTCACACATCTCACCATTGACAAAAATGGTTTCTTGTTGGATAAAAGATTTGAACTTAATACATGAAACAATAAAAATTATAGAAGAGAGTGTGGGGAAAACACTTGGAAGATACTTGCCTAGGAAAAAACTTTATGATGAAGATACCCCTAGCAATTGCAGAAACAAAAGATATATTACTGGGATTTGATAAAGCTAAACATCTTTTGCACAGCTAAGGGTACCACAAACAAAGCAAACAGACAGCCTTCACAATGCGAGAAGATTTTTGCATGGTAGGAATCTCACAAAGGCCTGATAACTAGAATCTACAGAGAACTCAAGTTAAACAATAAGAAAAGTGCAAAGAGCCCTCTAAGTGGGCAAAAGATTTGAACAGAAACTTCTTTGAGGATGACAGATGAATGGCCAACAAACATATGAAGAAATGCTCATTGTCCCTGATCATCAGAGAAATGCAAATCAACACCACTCTAAACCTTAGCAAGATTAGCCAGCCACACCACAAAGTCCCAAATCTGCAGATATTGGTATGGATGTGGAGAGAAGGGAACACTTTTACACTGGTAGTGGGACTGCAAACCAATACAGCCTTTTTGAAGAGAAGTATGGAGAATCCTCAAAGATCTAAAAGTAGACCTTCCATTTGACCCTGCAATCCCATTACTAGGTATCTACCCAGAACAAAAATTATTTTACCACAAAGACATCTGCACTAGAAAGTTTGTTGTGGCTCAATTCATAACTGCCAAGTCATGGAAGCAATCTAAATTCCCATCAACCCATGAATGGATCAACAAACTGTGGTATATGTATACTATGGAATGCTATTCAGCCATTAAAAAAGACACTTTACATCTTTTACATTTACCTGGATGGAGCTGAAATAAATTTTTCTGAGTAAAGTACTGCAAGAATGGAAAAATAAATATCTAATGTACTCCATACTAATATGAATTCAACACATATACAATTACTTGCTCATAAAAACAATACAACAATAATATAGTCCAGTTTGTAGATAGAGGGAAGTGGGACTGGTTTTAGAAAGAAGTGATATCAGGGAAAATGTCTGTGCTTACAAAGAATCAATAGCCATCTGCTATTTTTATTAAAATACATTATTGTAATTTCCTAACTACCCAACTGCTGCTATAAAGATGGATGCTCAGAGGTCGTATGGACCCTCATTCATAAGAAGAATGATACTGTTCTCATGAAGATCCAGCAGAAGGCAAGACTTGAGAGCACTAGCAGGCTCTAAATTAAATATATATTTCACTTACCATTTGCTACCATACCTAACATACTTCTGTAGTCCATACTGGACTAGTACCACACAGGCTATTAATAACAATACCTAATCACAAGGCAACTGGCATCTGTAATCAAGGCTCCCTAGGGCAGAAGCCAAAGTTAATAAGGATGAGAGATACCTGGTACTAAACAAGAAACACTGCTGAAAGCATTCAATGGCCCTTCTTGGCATCTTAAACAACACATGTCATTTATACCTTTGTGTTCCTCAGTGGGGAATTCTGCCTTAGAAGCCATGCAAGCTTGAAAAATAATCATAACTAGTCTTTGTTATTGCACTAGTATTGTTTTTAAAGACATATCTGTGTTCATTTGGCTTTATGATGCTGTGACTTTCATCCAAACACACACATTGATTAAGCAAGGCTCAGGGGGGAGGTAAACACACATTTGTATTCCCCCAAATGTTCATGTACTTTCAGCGTCTTTCAGCACAGATGAGGTAAGGCTGGGGCTGCAATGTCATGCCTAACCTAGGCTTTAGATTTGGAACTAGTTCATGTGGAAAATGCAAATGAAATCGTTGAAGCAATGCTGTAAAAAACAAGAACATTTCCATCCGAGCCAGCTGTTCTCCAAGACAGTGTCTTCTTCCTAAACAGAAAAAGCAGATATAATAATTTTTAAAAACCCATTATATTTACCAAAATTAATTTCTAATGTTTAGGTGCCATTCAGAAAATCTGAAATTTAAAGAAAGTTACAGGAAGTTATGTTTATTAAAAGATTTTCTTAAATCCCAAAGAATAGAAATTGGCACTCAGCTCCCAGAACCCATTCCTTTACCTCCTTTTGTCAGATCATGGATTCTTGTTAAGATTTTAATCCCTTCCCCTACAACCTCTGCACATTACAACAGAGCCAAGATATGCCATGAAAAATCTCATTTAAAGTGTGACATTTTGCTCTGTAGATCAAAGAGAAGCTCATTTCATTTCAGCTGTATATTATCTAGTGAAAAGGAAGAGTTTCTAGTCCATCTTCCAGGATTCTTGTGATCTGTGTACTTTTTCACAGCAGAAGCAATATTTTCCTAGTTGGAGATGAGATACAATAACTGAAAGCCAAGAAAGCTAGATTCTCGTTTTGCTTCAAGTTTTGTTATCTTTCCCCTTTCTGAGTCCCAGTTTCTTAAGTTACCTGCTATTGACTTCTTGCTCTACAAGTTCTGATTATGGGCCACAAATCCACAAGTAAAAAAATTTCAGAAGCCAGAACTTCACACCAGTTTATCTCTACTTAATCAATTAAGGCTCATTTTGAATAGAAACAGCTGTTAATTGCCTCTAATTAAACTATTCTCTCCTTTAAGAATCAATGCTGTGTTTTCAGAGGTAGAATATTTAAATCTCTAATAGGATACTTCAGATTAAGATGCTACACAAGACAAATCATTGTTATACTTTATTCTAAAGGTAGGCCCCTGTGAAAGTTCTCTTACCCAAGGAAAAAGGAACCAAAGCTTCCTTCTTGGCAAAATATCCACTGCTGTCCAGAAATCGCTCAGGATAGAACACTTCTGGGTCTTTCCAGTACTTTTCATCAAAATGTACAGAATAAAGATTTGTAATTACTGTTGTGCCTTTAGGAATGGAATAACCACGTACAACTGCATCTTCAGAGGTTGCATGGAAAATCCCTAATGGAACTATATTACAGAATCTTAAAACTTCGTGCAACACTGCCTCAGTATAAGGCATTTTACATTTGTCATCCCAAGAAGGCTTCCCACTGGGGCTCATAATTAAATCAATCTCTTTCTGAACTTGTCCTGTCAGAGAAAAAGTATTCAAGTTATTATGCAATTCTTAGAATTATATCTAAAGTAATTTTCCTTTCAGATAAAACTAGGGATAACCTATAAAAAAATCAATAGGACATGGGTATACCCAGATTTAAATTTTTTGTTATGGGAAAGTTCTATTTAAATATATGCCATACCCTGAACTAATAGTAGGCAATTCTGTTGCAAAAAACATGTTAAAAGTAGTAAGAATAAAAATTAAACAAACCTAGAATTGGGGTAGCATCACTCTTAGCAAGGAAAATAATAAAGCATAGAATGAATTTTTTTGAATTAAAAAAAGGTAGGGTTCAGATCCCAGCTCTGCCACTTCCACTCAGCCTTTTTCCTCATTTATAATAGGCATAATACCTATCTCAGAGGTTTTTCACATGAATCAGGTAACAGATTTGAAAACTCTCCATATCTATTAAATGTTTCTTTTCTTGGCTAGCACATCAGGAGTTCCTACAGAAAACGTTTTGTACATAACCAATGACGCTAAACCACATGAGTCCTAAATGTAAGAACAGACCCCGAGATCAAGAGAAGCCTCACCTTGAATGTTAGGATAAAGGGCCATCAAAAGAATTGCCCACCGTAGTACATTGGTTGTAGTTTCAGTTCCAGCAATTATGAGTTCACCCACTGAGAAGACCAGGTTTTCTTTGGAGAAAGTAGATGATGGGTCATTTTTACCTTGATCCATCTCATCTAAGTATGCATCAACAAAATGCTGAGGTATCTGAGGCTTTCTGTTGGCTGAAGCTTTTTCAATAAGTCTAGAGAGAAAATCATAGACTACAGCTGCATTTCTAAACAGTTGTTGATGTTTTCCAAAAGGTAAGATGCCAATCCATGGAAAGGCATTATACAGGAAGACTGAGGCACTAGCAGCTAGTTCCACATTTTCACTAAATAACTCAATCATGTGCTGAAAATCAGTGTCTTCATAAGTGAATCGTTGTCCAAAAATAATCAGATTGGTTATGTTTGAAACAGCATTTGTTATTAACTGTTTAAGGTCAAAAGGTCTACCTTTGTATGTTTCAATAGCATCAATGAAAAATTTGGTTTCTTCTAAGATTTTAGATTCAAAAGACTTTTGGCCATATCCAAAATAGCGAAAGCTGTTTACAGCTAATCTTCTGTGATCAACCCATCCTCGGCCATATCTGGAATTGAGTAAGCCTGAAAAAAAAAAATGTTGTATAATTCCTACTGCTATGGAGTAAAAAAACTCCTTCCAAATGGATGCTTAGTCACTTGTCCCCAAATTGTCTTTCTATATAAGTATATAGTTGGGTCTCATTCTCTGCTATTCAATAGCCATAAATATTGCCATCAAAGATAAAGATTATCTATTCCTCATCTGGGAACTAGCAGAACAGACCTATAATTCTCCCACCACAACAATTTAGCCAGTTTTAAACCTGGGTTGAATAGGCCCAGGTGACTTTATTATTCAACTTTTACTATATGCCTAATTTATAAAAGATAATCAACCGCATGTTCTATGGGCAAAGTTTTATCTTGAACTAAACAAACACGTGAAAATCATCCTTCTATGATTATAAATCCTCTGCTGAAAAAAGCATGAATTTTAGAATACAAATTTCCTCCTGTTAAAGGCATATGATATACAAGGTAACTACAGCAGCAACAAAAGCAGCCTGAATGAGTTGTTTGTATAGTAGAGATGCACAAGTCAAAATGAGGGCAAACAAGAAGCTTAAACTTTTCTAATGTTACTATTGCTTGCCTTAAAATTTCAAAGTCTCCACAGTGTATCTGCTATTCTGATGTGGCTACTATGGAAAATTGCCCCTTTAAATTAACTATCAAGGAAGAAACTCAACATCTTCAGTACATGTATTTATGGAACAAGTATTTTACTCAAAATTTCATTACTGGGACATAGGTATACCTATGATGAAAAATATCATGTTCTCTATATACATGAGACACATATGAAATGTACATTCCAACAAGTTCAGGGCAACACATTTTGAATTTGGAGCTTACTAAAAAGTTAACCATATGTAAGGAGAGTCTTTACTGCTATGCAGAAACCTATATTCTCATAGTTCTCATTTCTACATACCCAAAAGACTATTAATTGAACAAATATTCATTTAACATGTATTTATGGAGTATATACTATGTTTCCAGCAATGTTATATGTCTTGGAAATGTATCAGTGCTCAAAAGAGGCAAAGATCTCTACTCTCATAGAGCTTACATACTAGTAGGAAAGATAGACAAAATAACAAATAAATAAATTATGTAGTAAGCAAAAAGACATAGGGTGACCACAGAAGGCCTCACTGAAAACATGACATCTGAGTAAAGAAATATAGGAGATGTGGGGGTAAGATAAGCAAATACCTGGGGAAAGATCATTGCACATAAAGGAAACAGCTAATAACATATAATGGCACTGAGATGACAGCAAGCCCTAGAGAATATGTGTGAATATGAGAACATGTTTAAAAAGGTACAAAGGAGCACTGTTCATCATAACACTATGCTGTGTAACCTGGGCATGGGGCTAAGCACAAAGGGCAACTTTTCCCCCATTTATATAGTGGGCTAAAAGTGGCCATGATCTTTGAGTTCCAAATTCAGTATCCATGTATCTTAAAATAACACACATAATTTTCTACTCATTTTTCTCTTACTGTTTTCTGCAAATCTTAAATTAAATGCTTATTTAACTTTATGACAAGGATAGTCTAAAGTATGAATGTACAGCTTTGAAAAATATCTACTATGTCTCATATATTACTGATTGCCTAATCTTTCATTTTCATCATCTCTTTAAAGGTCTTCTATTATAATTGTGGTTTCTTCTTTGGCCTAATTGTTATTTAGAAGTGTATTTAAGAGGTTGGATTTTTGTTTTTTATTTATATTATTGCTTTCAAATATTATATTCTGGCCTAAGAATTTGATCTTTGAAATTTGTGATTTCAAGTATCCAATGTACTTAATACTAATATGAAGCCAGTAGATGAACCAATATACACCCACACAAGAGAAAAACTCAATTCAATTCAAGTTGGGGGAAGAGGGAAGGGAGGAGAATTGGCGTGCTCCCACCTAATGGGTGCAATGTAATGGGTTATATGGTACACCCCCTGAGTGTAGAATACAACTATAACAGGGACTTTACCTAAAAATGCAAACACTATAACCTAATTGTTTGTACTCTCATATTAATCTGAAATAAAAAAATAAAATAATTTTTAAAAAGTTTACTTGATTTGCTTTGTGATTTAATATAGAATTTTTATTTTTTCCTTTTTGACCAATGTCTTTATTTTTTGCGCATGTAAGATATTGTTAAATTTTTCTTTGAAATTAAGTGTGAAGTTCTCATTAAGTTGAGAAATTGGGACAACCCTATTGTAAAATTTCTTATTCTACTAATTAAAATTGTATCTGATTTCAACATTCTATTTTAGGTTTTTTTTTTTTTTTTGCTGCTTTCTTCTTATTTTGTTAACTTCTAGCCTTCCTCTCTTGCTGAATATTAAATTCCCCAATACTGATGACACTAAACCATATAGAATTCTAGTCCTTTACATAAACCTCTCAACTTTCCATTCATATATTATAGTGATTGGTAGTTAAGAAAGGCTGCTTTAGGTTCTCTAAGTTTATAAGCAAAATGATAGTTAAAATGGCTTCAAAAGGGTACTTTGATTCATGTATGTGTGTGTGTGTATGTGTATGTATCCCTAAATTGTTTCATAAGACCTACAGATATTATTAAGTGCTAATTCTTCAGAACATTACTTATAATATTTATCAGAATTGGATTATGATAGAATCAGCCTGTACTGGTCTAAAGGAGTATAATACAGTTTGCAAAGCCCTGATAATCAGTGCAAAAGAACCCCAACTCTAAAATTACTTAAAATAATAAATGTGATTTAAAATAGTTTAGTAAATTACTAAATAGGTCAAAGTAAACATACCTCCCATTTTTGTCATCTTCATGAATAAAGGAAGGGACGGTCTGTCTGCAAAAATTTCACTTTGATGAACAAGGCATTCCTTTACTATATCATAGCCATTTAGAACCACAGTTGATATGCCTCCAAGATCTAAACTGAAGATCTTTGAGAAGAAAAACATTTAAATGGCAGGATGAATGAAGAAACGTAAGCACAGAAATCTACAGTCACTAATACCAGCTCTCCCAGTATTTATTACTCAACCGATAATATTTAGATCGCCTTCCCCATATAAGGCATGTCAAACAGTGTGATTTCATTACTCCATTCAGTGCCTCAAGTCATAATCTTATGAATGGTATAATGAAAAGATCCCAGACTCAGGAGCTCTGGGTTCTAGTTTAAGGTTTGTCATTTAACATATATAAGACCCTAGGGAGAATGCTTAACCTTTGGGGGCTTCAATGTGGCCATAGAGAATATATTTGATTTATATCCTCTTTTAAGATTTATTCCACCTCAAAACAGTCAATGATTTCTAGCAATCTTCTTTTATTTCTAAGATAAGAAAGCTGTACCATCTACATATTATTACTCCAGCATAAGGTAAAGAGGGGATTGCCAAAGTCTTGAGAGACAACTTCGAAGTATGAACATTGTAAGTAGGCTCCTTTCTATTTGGCTCTCTAAACTCCAGGAAGTTAACAAAGAGCATGACCTTGGAGGAAAGGCATTTACCACATAGGCATAGCTGGCTGCCTCCCATCTAAGAGAAAGGCAAAACAGTATCCATCCTCTGCCTTGCTGGAGTTGTCTGCCATGTTCACCTTAGGTTCTCTTACAATGTCACACTTTTTAGTCTAGTCTAACTAACTCAATATAAGGATCCAGTCCAGTGAGGTAACAATGTTACTTTTCAGAGGGATGCAAAGATTGCTTATTGCCATCCTCTCATGGGTTGCCTGAGAGCTTTTTTTTCTAAGTGAAAATACTGAGAGTCTTAAATCTATGTAAACAAATGAAGCAGATTTAGCCACAGCATATACTACTTCAAATGAAAACAGGAAGATGAGCAGAGAACAAAAGCTTAGCAGCATCAGTTATACCAGCAAAGGTGATAAAGATCACCAAGTGCTAACAGAATCAGTTAGTTGAGCAAAGGGGCTACCACAGTCTTTCACAAAAGGGTGGGCCCTGCCAACTGAGCAGTAGGTACATCCAGAACCTTGGGGAAAGAGCATGGACTGCCTGCCATAACTAGTGGTATTAGTCAAAAGTAGCAGGGAAAGTTTTGAGCAAAAGGGATTGGCTACCAGGCAAGGAAGGAGAAGACCTTTCAGTTTCAAAAGTAGTAATGCACTGTTAAAGAAATGTCTTTTCCCAGAATTATAATTTTAGCAGAGATAATAAAAAGATGACACTAATTAATAGGAAGTGGTCTTGACATAGGAAAAAAATGGACTAAAGATGATTTCACAAGGGAAGACTCTGGCACTGAAAGCTGTGTTCCTATGAAGCAGAACAGAGGGCAGATATATTCAGGGTAAATCTTTAGGCTGTGGACACCAGGATTTATGAAAATCAAGGAGGCCAAGCCATGGTGGCTCATGCCTGTAGCCCTACCACTCTGGGAGGCTGAGGTGAGAAGATGGCTTGAGCTCAGCCTTAGCAAAGAGAGACACTCCATCTCTACCAATAATAGAAAAAATTAGCTGAGCATTGTGGTGCAAGTCTGTAGTCCCAAGCTACTGGGAAGGCTGAGGCATAAGGATCTCTTAAGCCCAGGAGTTTGGGTGGCAGTGAATTGTGATGATGCCACTGCACTCTAGCTGGGACGACAGAGAGAGACAACCTGTTTAAAAAAATAATAAATAAATAAATAAAAATCAAGAAGGAGCCATGGCTTGAGGAAGTTGTTATATTAATAAAAGTCATCAGAATTTTGAGATAATCCTATATTTGAAGGTAGAACTGGAGAAATTTTATTTGCACTAATATCTACTATGGTATATGTGGTTTTTGGTAGATGTTCATGCTTCACATTGTGGAAACTTATCCTTACAGTAATTTGATCTATGGAAGGGTCCAAGATTAGGCTGATATATTCTTTGATTTATTCAACATTTTTTAGTACTTATTATAAGCTAATTATGATGCTGGCAGAGATGCAAACAGAAATACAGGAAACACTTTCCTTGCTTTCTAGAAATCAAGCTATGATCTCCAAGTATCTTCCTCTCCCCCCAACCATATCCAACTATATTTTTTTAATTACTGCTCCATCCATCTTTCAAGTTCTTCAGATCTAAAATCTTGCAGCCACCCAAACTGACTCACTGTTTTATCCTAAACCCAACATACAATTGCTCAGCAGTCACATTTCTACTCTCAGCATATAAACAGAATTGGACAATTTCATATCATTTGTTTTTCCTGAGACAGAGTCTCACTTTGTCACCCTGGGTAGAGTGCCACAGCATAATAGCTCACACTATGTGAGCTATGGATTTCTCTTGGGCTTAAGCAACCCGCTTGCCTCAGCCTCTCAAGTAGCTGGGATTACAGGCATGAGTCAATATGCCCAGTTAGTTTTTCTCTTTTTAGTAGAGCCGTGGTCTCACTCTTACTCAGGCTGGTCTCTAACTCCTGAGCTCAAGTGACCCACCTGCTTTAGCCTCCCAGGGCACTAGGATTTCATATCATCTTGATTACTGACACTCTGGTCTAAGTCACTCTCACTTCTGTTATAACGATAGGCTTGCAACTGACTTCCCTAATTTCACTCTTGTCTCTTTACAGGTAATTCTCAACATGGCATATTCCTACTTCATGGCTTTTATGCTTGCCCTTCTCTTGGTCTGGAATATTCTTCCCCTCAATATTCCTATAGCTCACTCCTTCACTTCCTTTACATTTTTTAGATCAGGGGTCTTCAAACTTTTTAAACAGGAGGCCAGTTCACTGACCCCCGTTGGAGGGCCGGACTGCGGGCCCCAGGACGAGTTGGCTGCTAAGCAGGACAGGCAGTGGTGGCAAAAACACCCGGCGGGCCAGATAAATGTCCTCAGTGGGCCATATGTGGCCCGTGGGCCATAGTTTGAGGATGCCTGGTTTAGATGCTATCTTTACAGTGATGACTGCTGTGACTAACCCATTTAAAATTTGACAGTCTAGTACTCTCCATCTCCCTTACCTTAATTTACTTTACCTCATACTGTATACCCTAACATATGTTTACATTGTCTAACTTCTCCCCACTAGAATGTAAGCTATAAGGGCAATAATCTGTTTTGTTCACTGTTCTATCTCCAGCACCTACAACAAGAAAAAATATAAGTTGAATTAATAGTTGTGCAGACATCCATTTAAGCATATTACATTATCATAGGCTAAATGCTAATAACAGACAAAAGTGCAAAATGCTGTTAATGAAAAGTAACAAGGGATTACCATGACACACTTTTCAACATTTTCTCAGTCTGCTTTCTCATTTGGAAAGACTCCCTTGACTGCCATACTAGCCTAACCATACCAAGTCTTTAGGGATCAACCTCCACAAAACCTTTTTTAGTGCACTCTTTCCATTTTTCTCTGCTTCAAACCACACAGCACATGCTTAGAAGCTGCCATGGGACTTATTTAATACTACCTTGAACCTGAAACATGTATATCCTTGTCTCCTGACTGCCTGCTAAATTACAAACTTCTTCGAATCAGTGACTGCATCTTTTCCACTTTTGAATCCTCTACAAAATTTCACTCAGCACCTTGCATAAAGTTCTTAATAAATACTTGCTGTAAAAATAAAATAAGCTGTCAATTCCATTTGCTTTAAAGTACTTTATTGTCCTTAAGTGCATTATCTGAAAAGATTCTAACAAAGGCACTTGTATTAGCTTTGCTAATTAAAGAATGTATCTTGAAATCTAGATTAAGATTAAAGTTATTGCAGAAGTTTAAACATCTAGAGTGAATATCTAAGATAATGATAATTTTCAGTGTGATATATTTCTACCTAAGACTGCCTTTAAAATGAATGTGTAGGTCCTGAGGAATGTTCTTCCTTTCTCTCTCTCTTTTTTTTTTTAGAGACTGAGTCTCACTTTCTCACCTGTGGTAGAGTGCTGTGGCATCACAGCTCACAGCAACCTCCAATTCCTGGGCTTAGGCGATTCCCTTGCCTCACCCTCCCAAGTAGCTGGGACTATAGGCGCCCACCACAGCACCTGGCTATTTGTTGTTGTTGCAGTTTGGCTGGGGCTGGGTTTGAACCCACCACCCTTGGTACATGGGGCCAGCGCCCTAACTGCTGAGCCACAGGCACCACCCTTTCTCTTTTTTTGAGACAGAGTCTCACTATGTCACCCTTGGTAGAGTGCATGACGTCACAGCTCACAGCAACCTCAAACTCTTGGGCTTAAGCAATTCTCTTGCCTTAGCCTCTCAAGTAGCTGGGACTACAGGTGCCCACCACAACGCTTTGGTTGTAGTTGTTTAGCTGGCCCGGGCTGGGTTTGAACCCCATCACCCTTGGTGTATGTGGCTGGTGCGGAGCCAGGAATGTCCTTCCTTTCAAAGATTATAAAGAATTAAGTTCACAGCCTACACAAAAGTAAGTGTCACTTGAAGTGATTGCCATGAGCAATTTTAAAGTTCATTTTTTTTCCCTCTAAGCACACATCTCAAATTAAAAAGACAGTAGAAAAATAATATTCTAATTACAAATAAGTCCTATAAACTTTCTACAACTTTCCATAAGTACAAGAGATAATGGTATTTTCCCATTTCCAAAAAAGATATAGTATTTTAACAATTTATACCAACTTTGAGACTTCATCAGAATTGGGAAATATCTCTAAAATAATGGGAGGTTTCACAACAAGGATAAAGATTAAATGTTGCTGTAGCTTTGAGTTAATATAGTTAGGTGATTATCAACTTACATCTGAGATGGAGTCAGACAAGTCTACTCTTCAATGCATACATTTTCATTTTTGCTCTTTTCTGTTTTTCCTCCCAGCACCTCCCCCTTGCTTTGCAGGAAATAGCACAGTTTAGCCCTATTTGATTTGTAATAGACTCTTTGTAAAGAAACATAGTCCCCCTCAAACAATGGTACCAGCAATAAAAGTAGTTACTCATGCCAGATTCTTCTCCATTGAACTACCTATCCCAAGATAACAGTTTCCCAGGACATTTATAATTTAATTTCTAGCCTGTTATGATAGGAGACAGATTATCCTCTACCTGAAAGAATAGTCATAGTAAACACAAAGTGCCTTTCAGTTCAAATATTTATATGTGAAAACCTGATTCCCTATTATGTGAGAAACTATTTCAAATAAATGGCTTAAAAATACCTTTAAGTTTATAGGCTGAATAAATCTGTTTCTGTATGTAGTAACCAAGAATACATACAACAACCAAGAACATCTGAGTAGCACTTTATTATTTTAAATTATTAGTCTCATTACCTACAGGAGAAAATATTAAGATTCAGAGAATCTGGATTTTGGCCATTTATCTGGCCAAAGAGAACTCAACCTCTAGCCTCATGCTTGCATATCCTATAATTTCTCTAGAATATTATGATACTTTGTACTGAAAGCACATGTGGTGAGAATAAGATGGAATCTGTCAGGCTAGGGCAGACATGACACAGCTGGTCAGGTTTGTTTCACCCATCTCCTATTCATACTATCACAGCTGGTCAGGTTTGTTTCACCCATCTCCTATTCATACTGTTTTGTAAATTTAGCTTCCACCCTAAAGATGCCTATCTTGAAGAGTGTTCAGGTGGACTGATTTAGGAGATTAGCTCTTGAATTGGAATGTTGTAATAGGTCACTGAGGTATGCAGATTATTATATGGAATAGAGATTGGTGTGGTCTTTGTCAACTTTTATGTATAAAACTGTAATTTTGGAAATGGAAGAACAGAACAGTTTGGGAGAGGCTATTCTCACACTGTTCTCCAGAATCCCAGCCTTCTGACAAAGTTTGGTGGACCTATCCCCACCTCTGCACATTGGCTGACAGTGACAGGTGGCAGACCCGCTTTGTCTAGTAACAATACCAACACACTAAAAATACCAAAATATCTATTGAAAACTGTAAAAAACAAACTTAATTCCTATAGAACGGGAGGGTGGAAAATAAAATCTAAGAATTAAGCTAAGTTCAGCTTCCCTTTAACAATGCAACCATTAGTGAGCTGCAGAAATCCAGAATAATTCTTGTAAAAATCGGTTTAAGGATTTAAACACAAACCTGAAATGCCAAAATTGCCAAACACTTCTCCTTCAAAGCACTTGCTACAAGTTTGTAGTTGATAATTACATTATTCTGTTAATTCCTTACAATAGGGCTGTATCTATTTTCTTCCCATCTTCATCCTCAGCAATAGGCAAGACCCTGGCTTGTTGTTGCAAAAAAATTAATGTAATTAAAAACAAAGCAAAACAGGTGAGCACTGGCCCTGGCTCCTTCTGAGGTCAAGACCCCCTTCTGTTACCGGATGAAGAGTCCACGGCCTGTCGGAGTTGGACAAACTCTGCCAGCGACTGGCGGTGTGGCTTTCTGCCACTCATGGAGCATCCTGTTCTCGCTTCCGTAAACATGGAGGAAGCGGAAGTACCTACCTCAGAGGGTGGTTGTGAGTTTAAAATGAATCGACAAGTTGGCAGTGAGACTGGCACACAGTAGGTGCATTATCAGTATTTGCTATAAGGACGTTCCCGGCCGGTCAGGACTCCCGCCCCGGTCTGAGTCACTTTTACACTTACAACCCTTTACCAGAGCCCACTTCTCTGCCCGGGAGTTCACCTGCGTTCTCTCCCAGTCCTCACACAAACGCTAGACCAGTCATTCGTCGCTTGCTAACACCGAAGAACAGCCTACACTGACCGTATCAACTCGGTACTAGAATCCACAACGCCCCGTGCGGCCTCAGGCCGACTGGCCCGGGCCGAGAGCGGACGCCTGTCTGGGCCATAGCTGTGGCGCTGCCCGCGGGCCCCAGGGCGCAGGCGCAGTAGCACTAGCCCGCCGCGCGCCAGCCGGCCCCTCGGTGGCGGGAAAGTGGGTCCCCAGCGCCACACTGCGTAGGCCCGGAACGGCACCCGCTGGAGCGGGGCTCCCCCTGCAGGGGACGCTGCGTCTAGGACATTCCGTTCCTGACCTGGGAAGCGGGTTTTCCTCAGAGCGCAGCCACCACACGGAGAGAGGTCCTGGCTGAGGCCCAAGAATGGCCGTAAGTCCAACTAGGAGGAAGGCCCGGGCCAGCCCGAGGACAGGACGGCCGCCCTCCCTACACGCGGCCCATTGGGGCTGTACCTCGCCGTACACCTGGCTCTGCTTTCTCATGTAGACATGGGGAAGCTCGGCTGAGGCGGCCAGAGAGTAGATGTTACCGATAAATGGCAGCCCCGGCGGCCCCGGGGGGAAGCCCATCGGCCGCCTCTGCTTCAGTAGCTGGCGGACCCCCAGAGCGAAGAACAGCAGTAAGAGCGCGCCCGCGAGCGCCGCCGCGCACGCTTCAGTTCCTGGAGGTTCCCACATCGGACCGGGCTGGGGCTGCGAACCCCTGCTGCCCTGCTACCCGGGCGCTCCCTCTAGCCCTGCAGCACTCCCATTGGCCCGATACCCTGAGGTCCCGCCCCCACTCCATGACCATTGGCTGGCTAAATGAGGGCGATCGCGCCTCCAGGGACAGCTCTCCCCTGACTTTGCCCAGCTCAGAGTCCGCTCTGCTGAGGAGGCTGTCACCCTTTGGATCCGCGCGGCTCTAGGTGAGCACCAACCTGGCAGGACAGCGAGGCTGGAGGATGTTAGTAACAAGGTATTGAAAATGTGTCAGGACAGCCTCACTGGGCAAAGCAGATCCAGCCTCCCTGAGGCCGACCTTTCTTTAAAGTCATTTTAAGTACCTGGTCTGCTTATTTCGGAGCAGGGAAACTGAAGAGATTATCAGCATTATAGGCTTTAGCTAATCATAATCAGAATGTCCATTAGAAAATTGGCCCACCAGTATAAAAAGGAAAATAATCTTACCACTTAGTCCTGTTTTACTAATCTATTTTTTCTCCTGTTGAGGCACTTTTTGTGTGTGATTTTTTAAGAATTGTGATGATTGAGCACTTTATGCGTTTAACTCAGTTTACCTACCTGTTGAGCCTGCTTTCCAAGCTGGTTATTTATTGGTAATCACAGAGGACTTTTGTCTGCAATTGCTCAGGAGTGGTACTTAGTACTTAAGCTTTCTGCCTCCACTTCCTAGAAATAAGCAACTGATTTCGCATTATTTTTGCTGTTTGATTTTATTTAGTTCTATTTTCATCCCTGTTTTCTATTGGACAGTTCCTTGCAACGCAGAACGTACTGAGTTTGAGACTCTTCTAACAGCTGCCTTCTAATTGTGATTTAACAGTGACATGAATTTTATGGTCCTCGTTAGTTAAGGCTTATTCACACAATAAATATTTTTAGAATATCCGCTGTCTTGCGCAATGAAGAGTTGTAGGTGAATAAGAGCAACAAAGTCCCAGTTCTCATAGAATTTACCTTCTTGTGATAGGGCGGAAAAATCATCAAACAAAGTGAGACTCTGTCTCAAAAAACAAACAAACAAAAAAAGACATTTGAGCAGAGATCAAATGATAAAGAGGTATATTAGTTCCCTACTGTTGCCGTAACAAATTGCCACAAATTTTATGGCTCAGGACAAATTTATCTTATGAAACTTGAAGTAAGGGCGGCACCTGTGGCTCAAAGGAATAGGGCGCCGGCCCTATATGCCGGAGGTGTTGGGTTTAAACCCAGCCCCGGCCAAAAACTGCAAAAAAAAAAAAAAAAAAGAAACTTGAAGTAAAAAGTCAAAATGGGTCTCCCAGGGCTAAAAAAGAGGTGTTGGTAGAGCTTTATTCCTTCAAGAGACTGTAGGGGTGAATCAGTTTCCTGTCTTCCCAGTTTCTAGAGCAGTGGTTCTCAACCTTCCTAATGCCGTGGCCTTTTAATACAGTTCCTACGGGTTGTGACCCACAGGTTGAGATCCGTTGTTCTAGAGGCTACCTACTCACACCCTTTGGCTTGCACTTCCCATTCCTTCATCTTCAAAGCCACTAATGTCAGGCCTTGTCCTTTTCACCTTATCATCAATTTGATTATCTCTTCTATCCTTTCACTTACAAGGATTATTATGATTATATTGGGCCCCCTCTGGATAATCCAGGCTAATCTCTCCACCTCCAGGTCAGTTGATTAGCTATCTTAATTCCATCTGCAACCTTATACCTCTTGCTATGATAGGTAATATATTTACAGGGAGATCTTGGGGGTGGGGGAGAAATATTCCCCAGACAGAAAATACCAGGGGCAAAGGCTGTGTATACTAAGCCAGTGCTATCCTCAGAGAGTGTTTCCAATTTCTCTGTAACTCCAATGCAAGGACAGTGAAGATGAAATCAGCAAGTTAATAGTAGTTAGCCTGAGAGTTTTTCTGTTTAACTGCTTTGTGGCCTTCCCTAGGGTCTGAAGTTGCTCCCACAGAGCATGTTTCACAGGGTCTCTATCCACAGAATATCTACCCACTGCCTATTACAAATGCCTGATATGTTATCTTTAGAACTTCTTTAAACTGATTATTAATCAAGAATCTCCTGGTAAAATGGAAAAATAATTGTAAAAGATCATTGCTAAACTTAGTCTCTACTTTCTTAGCAAAGGCCAGGGAGATGATACAGGATAGATATTGCCACTGTAAGTGGAGGACAATTATGTCAAGGCACCAGGAGCTTGGAATATTACCTATGGGATGCCTGAGGTCATCAAGGTTTCAGTGTCTGCTCTTGCCACAGCTGTTATGTAGTACAGGTACTTGGCTTGAGAATGGTCTTCTTCCATCATTTATTTTCAAAAAGAATTGATTTTTGTTCCAGATATATCCAACGATTCACTTAAACAGCATTCCTTCTTTGGCATTCTTCCTCTGACTACATTAGCAGCAGAGAGCTCAGGGTTATCCCTGCTACAGCCCTGTCTGACTGACAGCACTGATGAGATGCCCCCCCCCACCGGGGGGCTTATTTGAAGGGGATTCTTAAGAATAACTAAGTCTTTCGGAGCACAAAGCATTCCCTATAACCACTTATTATGTTTTCACAGTGCTTAGCAAAAATAATTAGCTCCCCACAGCCCCCCTCCCAGCATTTTCTCTTTGAGTGATAGAAAATGATCAATAATGTTTGTCTATGGGTTCTAATCAAGACATGGATGTTTAGGGGGAATAAGAAGTACAGGATTTCACTGTTTCATGATAAGGATCCCATCTACAGTTTACAGAGTGGATGGGTGAATACCCTGCACAGAGCTCTACCATCTCTGTGTGCAGAACAGTAACAGTTTCAACAGAGAAAAGCAGTGGTGCTGTGCCTGATTGGGAGCCTCCTTCTGGGCCTTTGGGAACCTCATCCCGAGGGACAACATCAAGTGAGAGTGTCTCATGGGCTCCCTGCTGGTTCTTGGATAGCTGTGGGCTTGGCCTGGGGCTTGTGTATTCTCCCCACAGAGTTCCTCCAATGCAGAGTGATGTGTGCCTCCTTTGTACATTCCGCTATGTGCATACTCAGTATGTTTCATCAGAAGTGAGAGTTTGAGCAAGTGCCAAGCTGAACCATATTAAAGCCTTAGGCAAAAGGAAAAAATCAATAATATGGATCCAGTTTTATTAAAAATTTGATATCTGGCTCATCATGGATTTTTTTGCCTTAATTTTGATCTTAAACTATTGGATTAAAGTATTATCTTAGTTGTTTGCTTTTTGCTAACCTCTTCAATTTTGTTCCAAAGGTGAATCCTTCACTTATGTTGGGGGTAGGGTACCCAAATGATGATTTTGATGACAAAGTGGTGTGTAGGAACTGAGTTTGTGTACTTAATATTTGATGATGCTCTTAGAAGCCAGGCACTGAGGTGGGCTTGGCAGATAAGATCCAGCTCTGGGTAGGATCTGAGAGGAAGCCTTGTGAAAGTCTCTCTTTGGCCACTTAAAAAAGTCCTTCCCACCCTGTTACCTAAAGTTCAATCTTCACAAATTAATTTATATGAGTTAAACATTCCCTAAAACAGGCTGAGTTAGAAAATTCATACCCTGGTACAGGAGAGTTTATATGTTTATATGAAGGTCTGACAATGAAGTTCTTGAACTCATCCCAGAAAAAGTACTACATACCTCATTGCTAAATATCATTATGGGCACTTTTGAAGTACTCCCCTTGGGAAGCTATGTACCAATGCGAGTACCTAAGCAATTTTGGAACTCTTTCTAGAATGATCAACAAAGCTGTAATTTTATGGCATACAAAAATACACAACAAAAATCATGAATACCACATATCAACATGAACATAGCTGTAAGACACTGATATACAAAGGTTACCAAGTTGTTTGTACAGTGCTGCCAACGTAAGCACATGGTGGCAAGTTCACAATTTTGTCAGACCTTGTGCACCTCTAATAGAGGAGCATTAAGACACTGATTTGTTAGAGATGCTAGTGTTGGTGATGGTGGTTATGGGGACTTAAGAAAAGCATGCAGAAAAGGAAAAGAGAGTTTTGATGAGAAACTTCTTTCCCTTCACAATTTTTCCAATCACATTTCTCAGAAGTGGGGGTCATTCCTATCATTTCCTGTATATAATCAACCAACCACCACTCCCCACTTAATTTTCCTGTAGCACCCCACTGAACAATGTTCTATTCTTGACAGATTGTATTCCTTTTCTCATATTTAAATAAAATAGAAATCTAAAAAGTAAATGAACACTTAGTGACCATCTTGTTATAGACCTGCTTGCAAATATGGTTACTGAGAGTCAAAGGAGGTTTAATATCTGTCCAGGGCTCTGAAGTTGCCAGGTGTTTCTTCAGCCATTAATTATAAAATTATTGAGCACCTACTAGATTAAGTGCTGAGGATATAATGAAAAAAATCCAATCTGGAGTTTACTTTACTGGGGGATACAAACATTAGTCAAATAATCACAACTAAATTTGTTACTAAACATTTAGATTTTATAATGTAAAAAAAAAAAAACAGTTCTGTATAGCACAGGAAATGTGATCAGTCTTAAGGGTAGTAATTGTACTGTGAATCACAGAACCAGCTTATACCCAGGGACTTGTCTTCTTCATGATCAAGTTCATAGCTAGTTTTACTGAAAATCTATCCTACCAACTGGTCTTATAGGAGACACTGAGTGCCCAGTAGGAAGATAAAGGAAAGTAAGAAAATCCATTTAAAAATTTATAAATACCTCTCAGAGAACTTAAGTTCTAATTTGAAACCTTTTTACTTTTGCTTGCAAATAATTTTCATAAACATTCTTATATTGTGCTTCTGAAGACAGTAGATTTAGTAGATTTAAAGAATCAAAGTAAATGTAGATTGAATTGTTGTTAGAGATAACCACACCAACAATTCCAGAAATGACATCTGACAACCTCATAGTGGAAATGAAAACTATTTATAAATTATAGATATAAGAAACTAATAAGCACTGAAAAGCAGTCTGAGATAATTTAGAGTAGGTAATATCCTATGCATCTCAAAAGGG